ACACAACACACAACACACAACACACAACACACAACACACAACACACAACACACAACACACAAACACACAAACACACAAACACACAAACACACAAACACACAAACACACAAACACACAAACACACAAACACACAAACACACAAGCACACAAACACACAAACACACAAACACACAAACACACAAACACACAAACACACAAACACACAAACACACAAACACACAAACACACAAACACACAAACACACAAACACACAAACACACAAACACACAAACACACAAACCACAAACCCACAAACCCACAAACCCACAAACCCACAAACCCACCCACCCACCCACCCACCCACCCACCCACCCACAAACACACAAACACACAAACACACAAACACACAAACACACAAACCCACAAACCCACAAACCCACAAACCCGCAAACCCACAAACCCACAAACCCACAAACCCACAAACCCACAAACCCACAAACCACAAACCCACAAACCCACAAACCCACAAACCCACAAACCCACAAACCCACAAACCCACAACCCACACCCACAAACCCACAAAACACAAAACACAAACCACAAACACACAACCACACAACACACAAACACACAAACACACAAACACACAAACACACAAACACACAAACACACAAACACACAAACACACAAACACACAAACACACAAACACACAAACACACAAACACACAAACACACAAACACACAAACACACAAACACACAAACACACAAACACACAAACACACAAACACGCAAACACGCAAACACGCAAACACACAAACACACAAACACACAACACACACAAACACACACAAACACACAAACACACAACCACACAAACACACACAAACACACACAAACACACACAAACACACACAAACACACACACAAACACACACACACAAACACACACACACAAACACACACACACACAAACACACACACACAAACACACACACACACAAACACACACACACAAACACACACACACACACAAACACACACACACAAACACACACAAACACACACACACAAACACACACACACAAACACACACACAAACACACACACAAACACACACAAACACACACAAACACACACACACGCACGCCAACTCTGCCACCTAACTGGCCGATAGCAGCCCCAAGCGAGAGGGTCCACGACGTATGTCGAAACGTCGACGTTTGCATTTTCAGCCTCACGTCGTCGCCGACGCCGCACGATGCGCGGCAAAGGCGCACATCGCGTGCGAAATGTCGCTCTTGCCTCGGAACCGCGTCTATTCCTGAGAGGCGGTCTCCCTCTTAGGTGTGGCGCACCTGTTCCCGCTTGACACTTCATCCGTGGCGGGGTTGCGCCGCACAGCTCTCGCTTGAAAGTGGCTATCCCGCTTCTTGCCGTCGCTCGGGCGTCTGTTCCTTGTAAGTTTCGGTTACGTGCGCTTATTTGTTCGCAGGATGGTCCAAGATGCTCCTTCATCCTTGAGGGTCCTGGCCGAGGTCCGAGCGATGCCAAGGCTTGGGCGCTGCGCGTGTTGTGTTGTGTCTCTCTCATTGATTACCCACAAGACCACCCCAACCCAACCCGAAGACCCGACTTTCGCTCGAATTTCGGGTTGGGGGGGGGGGCGCGGGCTTCACATGTGTTGTTTTCCCAAGTTCCCCGACCCCCCCCCCATTCGGAAATGGAGGGCAGATCTAGACAAGCGCGTTCCACTACTCGCAAAGCAGCTGCTGGCAAGTGGCCTGGATTCGCCGTGGAGGACCTACGAAACACCACATCGAAGAAGATGCTTGTTTTTTTTTCGGACGTTTGCGAGCAGGCACTTTCCGAATAATGGAACGCGCCCGATGAAATCGGGCCTGTCCCGCTACAGGAGGAATATTCAAATGTAGCCAAAAAATAGCCAGGGGACTATTGTCTTAGTATTTTTGATCATTTTGGGATATGTTCTGGGGTATTCTTTATTCTTCGTCGAAAATCCCCCTGTAGGGGGACACGCCCGACTTGACTCCAGTGACGCCGGGGGGTGAGCTCACAGCTGCTGGGACCGGGGCGGCGCGCGAAGCGGGCGACGCGTCGCCCTCGTGGCGTGCCCGCTGGGGCGCGGTGCTCGCCCCTCGCTCGCCGCATCGTCGGGAAGCCACGGCGGGGCCGCACGCGCGCGGGCGAAGCGTCGTCCCTGCCCCTGGCCATCGCTCGGACGTCCATTTCCCGTGTTTTTGTTCGGTTTCGTGCGTGGTTGCTTCGCCAAATGATCAAGGATGCTCCTCGATGGCCCTCGCCGAAGAAAAAATGCACACGCCCGAGCGATGCCAAGTGCCCAAGGGGTGCCGCGCGGCTCGCGCGTGAAAGAGGGCACTGCTGCGTCCGTGCGGCGCGTGCGCTTCCATCTCCGCCATCCGAAATGGGACACGCGTTTCTCGATTCTCGGCGATGACAGGCGTCACGAGGGGGAGGGGGGGGGTATGACGCGACGCCCCCCCCGACGCCCCCCCCCCCATCCGCCGTGCGACTCTGGCACCACAGCCGCGCCCGCGCGCAAGACGACGATGAGCGACGAGCGACGAACGACGAGCAACGAAGACGACGACGACGACGACGACGACGCGAGCAACATTTAGGTGGCGATCTGCCCCACAGCGCCTGTGTACACCACAGTGCTCGCGTGCACCACTGCGCGCGTGTACACCACCGCGCCTGCGTACACCGCAGCAGCCGTGTGCAACGCACCGCCTGTGTACACAACAATGGTTGCGAGCACCACAACGCTGGTGTACACCACAGCGAATGTGTACACCGCAACAACCATGTGCGCGCTTGTCTACACCACAACATCCGCGTGCAACGCAGCGATGGTGTACACCACACCGCCTGCGTGCACAGGACAGGTAGAAGGAGCATGTCGGTGAGGATCTGCTGCGGACAGCTAAACGCCACGCCAAGGAACTGCTGATAATATGATGCGACGTTTTTCCCTCCTCCCGCCTCCTCCTCCTCCTCCATTTCTTCCTCCTCCTCCTCCTTCTCTTCCTCCTCCTCCTCGCTCACCCTTCCCCCCTTTCGTGTGGGTCGGCGCTACAGCACACGTGCGCATTTCAGCGTGCACCGCAGAATGGTGTACTGATTCAGTCCAATTGGTTCTCAGACAGTCAATCTTGCTGGAGCTTCCTGGACGCGGATGGGAGGAGTTCGGATGACGCGTGCGGACTCGGGAGGACTCGCAGATTCCAGCGGTACCCAATTTTTCCACAAATTCTATATAAAGCATTGTTTCCTGTCAAATCTACAAGCGCTCCATTTTGTCATCAGGATTCCTTCGAAAATTCTGTGTGTGCAACCGTGCTGCTCTGTTGCACACGGCTGCTGTGGTGCACACAAGCGCCTTAGTGTACGCTGGCGCTGTAGTGCACGCAGGCATTGTGGTGTGCACTGGTACTGTGTTACACACGGCTGATGTGGTGTACGCAGGCGCTGTGGTGTGCACAATCGGTGTGATGCCCGGAGGCACTGGCACACACACTGGCGCTGTGTTGCACGCGGATGCTGTGGTGTACATTAGTACATAGGTGTGGTGTACACAGGCGCTGTGGTGCACGCAAGCACTGTGGTGTACACAGGCGCTGTGGTCAGATCGCCTCCTACATTCTGCTGCTGCTGCTGCCCATGCTCGGTCAGTCCTAGGCATTCTCAGACGCCGCCGGCGCGAAACGTAACAAAATCGGTCCCCAACCCCCTCCCTTTGCCGTCATCGGCCCGGCATTAAAAACAGGCTCCAGCCGCGTCCGCGTGCACGACGACGATGAGCGACGAGCGAAGAGCGGCAACGACGACGACGACGAAAACGATGACGATGACGACGACGACGACGACGACGACGACGACTGTGGACTAGATTCCTGTGCGGATTCCTATGCGGACACCTATGCGGATCCCGACGCGCACGGCGGCAGTGCCCGGAGCGCACCGGGGGGGGGGAGCGTTACGTTGGTCTATAGGGGGGGGGGCGGGGGCTGTGACGCCCGTCGTGCCCCAAGCAATCAAGAAACACGTTCTTGGCCGCGCGCGTGATGCGTGATGCTCGTGCTGACGCGCCGCGCAAGGCTTTTCTGAAAGTTCCGTTGCCGCCTGTGCGCAGGGCGTGATTCTTCGCATCGTTCAGCAGCCGACGGCAAGACCACGCGAGAGGGCGAGACGGCGCGCGAGCGCAAATAGCCAGCCGCGCCACGATCAGTTCTTGTGTTACGAGAGGTGGGATCTGACGGTGGCGGGCCCCGATGACTCGCTCGACCAGACGAGCCTGCCCCTGCCCACACGCCCACTCATCCCTCGCCCCCTCACCCCAACCCCGCCCGCCTTCCCCTTCCCCCCCGCGGAAGGAGCGTGAACATGAACATGAGACGAAGTCTTGAAGATGGCTCCTCCCCTCCCACGGCTCAGACGACGATGCCCGACACGGAGCTGAAATACACGGAAATGAACAGGAGGATGCACACGTACCAAGAAAGCCCTTCACCGTTATTGCAAACCCCAGTCCCGCTGAAGAAAATGCTCAGGTTCCTCGGAATGCTTTCCACTAATATGCCACACAACTCCATCCCACCAAAAACTGCGTCTGCCTTGCGCGGGCCAGGCTCAGCCAATACAGAAAAGCCACCAAAAGAAAGCGTCTGCCTTGCGCTGGCCAGGCTCAGCCGAATACAGCCGCGACGAGGCGAAGAAGCACAGGATGGTGAGGATTCCGTGGCCAACGCCCACATGTCGATCAACATCACGACGGCGATGAGAGAGAAAGGAAAAAACATGACCGTAGCACTATGCAAAGCTCCTCCATAACTCCAAATATAGGATGATGAACTGACTGCACTTGTACGCCCAAAAGCACCAGTACCGCCAGCCCTCCCCACCAATGAATAGAAGAAGCACGGCCAAACTGAAAATACAAAAATGCGCAGCCTGACTTTTCGTCTCCCTTCGCCACCGGTTGAACGTCACACAACATGAGGTCGCCCCGATGCCACCCAAGTGCCACGATGAGGCGGAGACGGGGCTAGGGCGCCGAGCGAAAAACCATTACGGAAATTGCTGCGGGGCCTGCGCCGCACTTGAGCCCCCCGCAGACGAGGAGGAGGAGGAGCAGAAGGAGAAAAAGAAGGCGGAGGACAAATGGAAACCACGGACGCATCAGCGATGTTGCAATAAGCCCGCCCTCCAAGATCCCTCTGCATAGGTCCCCACAAAAATCTGTGCTCATTGCGGGAAGTGCCCCATTGGAAGACAACCGTCTGGGAGCCCCCAATCATGCCAAAACACAATTCCGGAATTCAACCCCGCGAGTCAAATCGCCTGTGGCGTCCTGACATAACCAACACCGCGAATCAACGTGACTCTAATGCCCTGGCAGGGAAAAGTCGCACAAGAACAGTAGTCCTGGGACTTCATACGCAACCTTGAAACTGTTACAGACAACGTTACAGTCAACCCGTATAGCAAGGATGCGCGATAAAGATGCAAGGGCCTTGGACGCCCATGTCGAAAATGTTTGAGCGGGGCGCGGCCAGCGAAAGCGGCGAAGGAAGGACCGAGGAGGCAAGGATGCAAGGGTACCCTTAGGAAGGTTGCCCATCATTACTGTGCGGGTTGACTATACGGCGAATGCGCACGACGCTAAGGCGCGATCACCATGTTGAAAAGGAACCGTCCTCCAACCTTGAAGCTGCTGGTAAGTTGTATAACGAACATGATCGGCGCTAAGACAGAGTAACATAAAACAACGGGCCGCACTCAATCATTGACACTGTTGCAAATTTCTAGCTCCAGGATCAAAACTACTAGGGAAGTCTCAGGCGAAACGCCTGGCCACCGTCCTACCAACACGTCTGGGGGCGGACGGAGAGGAGTAGTGTATCAGGACAAGAGATGGGTAGAGGAGGAGGAAGAGAAAGAGGAGGAGGAGGAGGAGGACGAAAGGAGGCGGACGCGGAGGAGGATGAGGAGAAGGAGGAGGAGGAAGAGGAGGACGCGGACGAGGACGAGGAGGAAGAGGAGGAGGAAGAGGAGGGGGAGGAGAAGGAGGAGGAGGAGAAGGATTAAGAGGAGAAGGATTAGGAGGAGGACGAGGAGGAGGACGAGGAGGAGGAGGAGGAGGAGGAAGGGAGGAGGAGGAGGAGGAGGAGAGGGCTGCATTCACCGGACACTCCGATCGACAGGAATCAGGAACCAGGAGGAGGAGAGGAGGAGGAGGAGGAGGGAGGAGGGGGAGGGAGGAGGGAGGAGGAGAGGGAGGAGGGAGGAGGAGGAGGAGGAGGAGGAGGGAGGAGGAGGAGGAGGAGCAGAGGGTGCAGGGAGGTAGGGAGAAGGAGCATGAGGAGGGAGGAGGAGGAGGAAGGTGGAAGGAGGGGGGGGTGCGGGAGGAGGGGGGAGGGGGGAAAAGGAGGGAGGGAGAGGAGGGAGGTGGGAGGAAGGAGGGGGGATTACCCACCCCTCCTGATCACCTTCCCCGCGGGCGCCGCCCCTGAGATTTTCGCGCGCGCGCGAGCCACGCCGCGCGGGCGAGGTGCTAACAAATACCAAAAGCACTGCGGGCCGCCACCGGCGCTGCAAGCGCGCAGGGGGCCCGCAGCCGCAGCCGCCCGCGGCCGCCTGCGGGGGCGCCCGGCGCCACCAGGGAGGGGTCGGAGGGCGAACGAGGCGGGAGGGAGGAGCACAGTCCAGCTCCTCGTCCTCCTCCTCCTCTTCCTTCTCCCCCGCCTCCGCCTTCGCCTCCGCCTCCTCCTCCTCCTCCTCCTCCTCCTCGTCCTCGTCCTCGTCCTCGTCCTCCTCCTCCTTCTCCTCCTCCTCGTCCTCATCCCTCTCATCCTCCTCGTCGTCGTCCTCCTCCCTCTCCTCCTCCTCGTCCTACTCCTCCTCCTCCTCCCTCTCCTCCTGCTCCTCCTCCTCCTCCTCCTCCTCCTCCGCCTCCTCCGCCTCGTCCTCCTCGTCGTCCTCCTCCTCTTCCTCCTCCTCCTCCTCCTCCTTCTCCGCTTCCTCGTGCTCATCCCTCTCATCCTCCTCGTCGTCCTCCTCCTCCTTCTCCTCCCCTCCTCCTCCTCCTCCTCCTCGTCCTCCTTCCTCCTCCTCCTCCTCCCCTCCTCCTCCTCCTCCTACTGATCCTCCTCCTCCTCCGCCTCCTCCGCCTCCTCCTCCTCCTCCTCCTCCTCCTCCTCCTCGTCCTCCTCCGCCTCCTCCTCCTCCTCGTCCACGTCCTCCTCCTCCTCCTCCTCCTCGTCCTCCTCGTCCTCCTCGTCCTCCTCTCCTCCTCCAGCTCCTCCTCGTCCTCCTCCTCCTCCTCCACCTCCACCTCCACCTCCTCCTCCCCCCTCCTCATCCTTCGCCTCCTCATCCTCCTCCTGGTCATCCTCCACCTCCTCTCCTCCTCCTCCTCCTGTTTCCTCCTGTTTCCTCCTGTTCCTCCTCCTCCTCCTCTGTTCCTCCTCCTCTCCTCTCCTCTCTCCTCCTGGTCCTTCTCTTCCTCCTGCTGCTGCTGCTCCTCATCTCTCCTCCTCCTCCTCCTCCTCCTCCTCCCTCCTCTTCCTCCTTCCCCTTCTCCTCCTCCTCTTCCTCCTCCTGGTCCTCCTCCTCCTCCTCCTCCTCTTCCTCCTTCCCCTTCTCCTCCTCCTCTTCCTCCTCCTGGTCCTCCTCCTCCTCCTCCTCCTCCTCCTCCTCCTCCTCGCGCCGCCTCCTCGATGGTCGGCGGCAAGCGACAGGGGGTGGGTTGCATGAGAAGCAGAAGGCCTTCTCAGAAGGCGGCGGGACTTCTCAGAAGCCCTTGCGCCTTCTGAGAAGCGACCTGTTTCTTCGGGGAGGGATTCCAAAACTTCTCAGAAGGCCGGGAAACTTCCGAGCAATCTGACAAGGCCCGCCCTTTCTCACTTCCCCCCGGGCGCGCCACCGATGATTGGAGAGGACACGCGAAAGGACAAACGACTTTCCCGAAGGCCACATGAGAGACGAGACCAAGCGGGTCTTACGCGAGGTGGCATGGCGACCGTGCGCCGCGGCTCACGCGGGCAACCAGCGCGGCGCGCTACATTGGAAACGAGGCCGCTTACGACAAACCCGTTCTTTTGTGCCACTCACACTGCTACAAAGATGCGGAAGGCGTGTGCCACAAAATACGGGACACGCAAGGGTACCCTTGCACTTGGCAGGGTCAGCCTTCGAATCAAACTCGGCTGCGTAGATAAGAGGTACGCGAACGGTGCCCATGCACTCTACAGTGGAGGCCAGTCCACAAGGAACCTTCCGCAAGAAACTCAACCCTGAGACCCCAGGACGTCCATGGATGTTTGGTGTGCACACGTCACGCTTTCCATGGCAAAACCCTCGAAACCCAAGAAACCCAGGGCACCCTGGAGGCAAGCAGGGTGTTTCTTTGCATGGGCCCCCACTGTAGAGACAAGGAAAGGCGACACCAACAGCACCGGGGCGAGGAGATGCGAGGAGAACGGGAGGTCTCCCTGGTGGTGTGGTCCCCCCTCTCGCTCGAGACATCCCCAGCCTCCAGCTCGGGGAGGCATCGTGGACCTCCTCGCTGGAGGTGGCGCCCCTCCGACACTGTACGGTAGGTTCGAGCGGCGTCGGCGCGCGCAAAGGTTTGTGACACCGCATCGATCGTTCAACCTTGAATCGATCGCGGCCCCGATCGTTCAAGGTTGACTTCCGTCGGGTCCAACGGCGTTGCAATGTCCCTCGGTGCTTCTGCGTCGTTCTATCATGAGGCGTTCAACTTTGAACGCCTTCGCCGGCTTCGCGGGTGCGCCATCGCCGCACGAACCTACCGTACCACGTTTGGACTCCCTTCACGGCCCCGCTCCAGCGCGGCGCGGTGCACGGTGCTTCTCCTCCGAGGGCCGAGGAGCCTATACGCCGCACCACTCCTGGGGCCAAGATCGGCGACAACTCGGGAGACGCCAACGCGGTACGGTGCACACCCCGACACAAGGCCGAACCGCAACGGTGTTTTTTGTTTTCGTTGTGTTTTCGTTTTCCCTCGTTTTGTCTTCAACCCGCCTTCAACGCAAAACGACATCGAAACGAAAACGGCACACGAAATCGCCAAAACACCGTTTAGGTCCACCCCTGCCCAAGCAATCCTGGCCGTGGGCGAAACGGAAGTAAGGAATACGAAAACAACTATGAACAGGTGGGTCTGGTAAAAATACGGGAGGGGGAGAACAGACGTAAGCACGAGTGTGAGCGAAGGAGTGCAAATGGGTGCTAGATTCCGCCGAACCCTGTTATGCGGGGGTGGAAAGCCTGTGAGATGATTGGCTGTCCCCCTCCCCCTCTCCTCCTCCCCTGGGGTCTGGGGGGAGGGACCAGGCCAGGGGGGGGATTCCCGAGCTTACTGACGCTCCTCAAGGGCCTCTGGAGCCTCCATCCCTACATTCTGTGGCCTAAGAATCGATCCACGCTTGCTCAAGCAGGGTTCCAACACGCACACGAGTCCGCGAAGACGACCAAGATAGCTCCAAGACTGCCCGAGAGGCTTCACAGACGCCCCAAGAGGGCTTCAAGACGACTCCCGAGAGGGCCCCAAGAAGCAAGCATCATCCAAATCCAGTGGAAGAAAAGAATACTTTGAGCACAATCGCACGTTTGGTTTCAACAGCGTCCAAGACTGTTCAAGAGGCCCCCAAGACTGCTGAAGAGGGTCCCAAGGCGGCCCAACTGGTGCCCAAGACTGCCCAAGATGCACCCAAGAGGGCCCAAGGGAGCCCCGAGAGAGGCAACTCGAGCTGATACTCCGGGCCCTCCGCCCCAAGAGGACCCCCGAGACCACCAGCAGGCGCCCCCAGAAACTCGCAAGAGGCCCGAGGATGTCCCAGAGAGGCAGCTCGAAATGAGACTCCGAGGCCCTCCGCCCCGAGAGGGACCCCCGAGATCACCGGCGGGCGCCCAGGAAACTCCGCCCAGAGAGGCCCCCAAAAAGACCCCAGGCGGTCCCAAAGGAACCCCAAATGCCTCATCCATTGATTTCATTCCTCCTCCTCTGGGGGTCGGCGGAATGGCGTAAGCAACTTCGTGGGTATGATGTCGCAAATTCGAGTGACAATGGATACGCGTGGTGAAAGCGAGAGCGCGCATGAGTGCGGGGGCACGGGAAGGCGAACAAAGGACGGAGAGAGGAAGGATGAAGGCTGAGACGTTCCTGCTGACACAAACCACACTCAAGGTACAGTACATAAGACACACGATTGCTGCCATTGATCAGGGGAGCTGGTTCAATGTCAAGAGAGGGGCACAACCAATTCCAGGAGCTACGCTAGCACCACGTATAATGCGCACATCCACGCAGAAAGCTTGACCAGTCTACCCCCTGCCGAAGAGTGCGGCAACCTCATTCACTCGATCGCCTCGGCGATGTACGCCGACGCCAGAGTGGCGAAGATCAGCGCCTCCGTCTCTCCCCCAATCAGTCCGTGGCTCGAAGGGGGCTGGAGAAAGAGAAGCAGGACGAGGAGCAGCGGCAACAACAAGACGAGCAGGAGCAGAAGCAAGAGAAGTGGGCTTCGGCCGCAGCGGGTCTGGCTTGAGTACATATGTGACGAAGTGGGTCCGTGTCTGCGACTGCGCCCGACCAGGGCGTGTGGGCACGGCCTGCGGACGGGGGCAACGCATCCGAGTTAGGGGGGCTACTTTGGTTGCGGATGTTTAATCGTTTTGGAACGGCGTTCAACTGAACTCTCAAAATCGCGAGGGACCGAAAACAAACCGAAACCACATCGATACATAAATCGGAAATTGGGCTTCGGTTTCGGTTCGTGTTGTGCGTGCGGGAGAAGCGGAGCTGCGCGAGTTCCAACACTTGTAAGGGGCCGCATGGAACCCAGAAAGTCATCCCCCCCAGCCAGGCGCGGCCCCCGATGGTTGTCCCGCGGGTTGCCTTGATGGTTGTCCCGATAGTTGTCCCGATGGTTGTCCCGACGGTTGTACCGATAGTTGTCCCGATGGTTGTTCCAATGGTTGTCCCGATGGTTGTCCCGATGGATGTTCCGATTGGTTGTCCCGATAGTTGTCCCGATGATTCTCCCGATGGTTGTCCCGATGGTTGCCTCGATGGTTGTCCCGATGGCTCTCCCAATAGTTGTCCCGATGGTTCTCCCGATGGCTGTCCCCAATGGTTGTCCCCGATGGTTCTCCCGATGGTTGTCCCAATGGTTGTCCCAATGGCTGTCCCGATGGTTGTCCCGATGGTTGTCCCCATGGTTGTCCCGATTGGTTGCCCCGATGGTTGTCCCGACGGTTGTCCCAATGGTTGTCCCGCGGGTTGTCTTGATGGTTGTCCCGACGGTTGTCCCGATGGTTGTCCCAATGGATGTCCCGATGGTTGTCACAATGGATGTCCCGATGGTTGTCCCGATGGCTGACCTGTCCCGATGGTTGCCCCGATGGATGTCCCGATAGTTCTCCCGATGGTTGTCCCGATGGTTGTCCCGATGGTTGTCCCGATGGATGTCCCGATGGTTGTCCCGATGGTTGTCCAGATCGTGTCCCGATGGTGGATTCCAGAGGGTGGATACAGACATTTACATGTATACATATATATATATACCTCGATAGAGACACAGACAATTAGATATATACGTGTCTTTATACATCTGTGTATATATACATATTTGTATTTATATATACATATATATAAACATATCGGCCCGCATTTAGATACATAGATAAGCATATACATACAATGCGGTAGATCATTAGATATATAGCTAGACAAATACATATAAACTCTATATACATATTGTGGATATGCACAGATAGAGAGGGAGGTTCACACATAATATATACATGTATATACACGAGTAGATCGATATCTAGCACCACCACCCACCACCACTACCACCACCATCGCCACCAGCACCAAGAACCCAGAGCCATCGCAAATCGATGGCCTCCCCCTTCCGCCCCCAAACCTCCTCATCACCCGAAGGGTGGTCCGATCGGTAGATAGATAGATTAGGCTAATAGAAACAAGCGGGAGTAGGTGGTATTTATGTTCTTTCGTGTATGTTTTGTTGGCGGTACGCGGGACTCATTGCAAATCGACCGCCTCCCCCTTCCCCCCCAACCTCATTATCACCCGAAGGGTGAAAGGGTGGTCCTATCGATAACTATAGGAGTCACTTGCTCGATCTAACAGGGCGCTGACATCGCCTATGATCTAGCGCGCCTCGAGAACGTGAAAAGAGAAGGCGGATGCAGAATAAGACCAGAGGAGGCGGAGGAGAGAAGCAGGACAGGGGGACACGAGGAAAGGAAGGAACAGCGAGTGTTCTGTTGAACACAAACGACAATTCAAACAAGAAGGAATATTGAGAATATTGAGGAAACGCATGACACACCCTCTTTTCCTCCTTTCCACCTCCAATTCCCAACTCAAACTGTCGCCCCTCCCCTTCCCCTCCTGGATGGAGCCGGCGAAGATGCCCAGCGCCATGATGGGAAGGGGGATCACGAACGGGACCTCGGCGATAGCGCCGCCGCCAGGCGAGCGCGGAATACAACTTTCTCTCTCTCTCTCTCTTCCTCTCTCTCTCTCTCTTTCTCTCTCTCTCTCTTGTCATGTATTGCCGATCCTCTTACTCGTCCATCTCCTCCGCCTCCTAACTGCCCCTCATGTTCTACTCTTGCACATCCAACTCATGCTCCTCTTCATGGTCGTGTGCCTCCTCGGCCTCCACCTCGTTATCCCTACCCTGAGGCGTCGCAAGCGCAGCACCCATCATCCCAACGTGCAGTCTGAGTGTCTATCACGAGGCTACTACTGCGACGCAGGAGTCTTGAAGTTACACTCGGCAACTTGCACCTGGTCCGAAGCGACAAACGCCAGGGCATGGATGTTGCTAATAACTTCAGTCTGGTCCCTTCGCGCCAGGCGTGGCTGGTCTGGACAAGCCAGACTTTCCACCGCAGAGGGCAAAGAGTGGTGAACTCACTGTCCGAGCGGGTAGCAACGCCGCCAATTCCCTCGCGAGAGAAATCAGGGCGCGGATTGGCATCATATCACGGACTACAACCGAGGATGCGTGGAATCCGTTACGCTCCAACGAAGTTCCTACAGGAGCGCTTGCGCCGAAGCCTCAACAACTTCCTAGGCCCCGACTTGCACGCAACGGTTTGCAAGACTTCCAAGCGTTTGGCGCGGGGTCCTCCCCTCACTTGCCCTGTGGGTCAGCTGTCCTGGCGGTTTCAAGACACCCCGCCTGCGGCAGAAGGCACAGTTGGCCTTCACAAAGGGGCCCTGGGGCACACAAACAAATACACAAAAAATAACAAGACTCCCCAGATGTTCCATATCTTCTCGGCTCTCGTCTCCCCCCAATTCCCGTAGCTTCCCACATCTTCTGGGAAATCGCGGATCACTTGTGTCTGTGTGTTTCTCTCCCTCCTGACAGCTGGCCTTTCCTCAGAGCGTGAATTACCTCCCCCGCTTTCGCTTCCAGGCAAAACCAAGCCATACCACGCGCCTCCTCGTCAAGCGGCCTGACCAGTACAGGCCGCAATTTGGCATCGTTTGGTATCTCTTGGAAGCGAGGGTGGTCAGAAGCGAGGTAGGTTTGTTTTCCCCCGATTTCCTGTGCCCGCGCAGGACCTGGCTCCCGGGGCTCCTGCAGGTCGAGCCTGCACCCGCACGGTCCGAAGCAGCCCCGGGCGCGGCCCTGCGTGCTGCACCACGCGTCGGCCAGGGCGTCGGGGGTCCGCTGCCTGCGCTGGCAGCCTGTAGTAACGATAGGCGACGAGCCCAGGGGGAAATGAGAAGGAGAAGGCCTTCTCAGAAGGCCGCGGGACTTCTTAGAAGTCCGGGGGGCTTCTGAGACGTTTCCTTGGCCTATTTCGAATGCAGACAGAACTTCTCAGAAGCCCTCTCAGAAGCCCAGAAACTTCTCAGAAGCCTCGGAAGCCCCGCCCCTTCTCATTTCCCCCCCGCGCCCGCCGCCGAAACAAGGACGCACGGTCAGGATGCCAGGGCCTTGGAAGGCCATGCCGACGATTTGCGAGCGGGGGCGGGGGCGCGGTCCGCGGAAGTGGCCAAGGACGGGCCGCCGGGGAACGATGCGAGGGTATAATTAACCTTGGAAAGCCGCTCGTCCTTCCCAAATTATGCGGGCTGACTGCAGCGAGCGCCGCCAGCGCGTCGCAGGATCGACGCCGCGGTGGCCCAGGGCTCGCGACACGTCGAGCAGGGCTGCCTGCGCCTGCACCACCTGCAGATCACCAGAGGCGCCGGGGGCGATGACCGAAGGCGGAGGCACACTGCGCTCGCTCGGGCAGTGGCTCCGCGGTCGCGCACGTGCGCTGGAGCGCAGCTCGTGCAGTCGGAACTAAGGCAGCCTCCCTGGGGTTTGGCGGTTCACCCCCAACCTCCGCCCCAATGGCGCTTTTGCAGGTTCTTGACGGGTTGAGCACCGACCCTCGCGGTCGTCGGCCGTCGAGCGCTGAGCAGGCCACGCAGGTGGAGGCGGCCGCAGGACAGTCCTGCACCGTGGTGCCTTCATTGACTGTCAGCCGTGGCGGCAGCTGCGGCAGCTCGCGCGCTGGACAGTCTCGCACCTGCAGCAGCCAAAATGACAAGCAACAAAATGGCAAGAACATCCAACAACTCACGAAGAACATCAGGGCATCCTCCCCGAACCGACTTCGATCTTATAGCAAGGTCCAACTGTATGCGAAACGCGCCCGATGTTTGCTGATCTCGGTCGCGCTTCGCCCGGATCTTCCCCAGAAGAAAGCAGGCCGAGCTGAGAGGCCGTGGAGGGCTGGGGAAGTAGTTAGGCGGGCGGGACAGCGAAGGAAAGAAGAGGCCAGAGGGAGGGGCAGGAGAGACGAGGGAAGGAACAACGAGAAGGGCGGAGGGGAAGAGGTCAAGAACGCAAGAGGGGAGGTAAAGGATGGATCAGGTTGAAAGACGAATGTGCAAAAACGACGGGACTTGCGAGAACAGGGGATAAGGAAGAGGGGGAAAGGAGGGGAAGGAGGAACAGGAAGGACATGCCAGGTGATAATGGAAAGAAGATGGGAGGGGCAGGGGCGACGAGGCGGAAAGAGGAAGGAGGGGGAACGGGACAGCGTGAGGACTTGGGGTATTGTCGGTTATCCTCTTCCTCCAGAGGAGCAGGAGGAGGAGGAGGAGGAGGAGGAGGAGGATTGTCATTTTGGCTCAGAACTGTGAGGATCGTTCTGGACCAAATGGACACCGCTGCTCCGCGGCGCTCGTATCCGTCTTCTCGGCCCGTTCGCCCGGGAGGGGAGCCGCAGCCGGCACGCCACAGAGCTGTGACTCCTTCAGTCTCGCCGGCTCGCCCCGGCATCGCATGGAGCGGCGGGTGACTTTCAACATGTGGCTCGCCTTAGCTTCGAGCACACTCGTCGCACATGGCTTCGAGCAACTGCCAACATTCCGGGCACACCGCTTTCGAAATGGGGCCGCCGCCTTGGCGCCGCGCGCACTCGCATCAAAAACACATGAAAATGACGGACGGCTACTCGCTTCCCAAACATGGCTTTCGCCTTGGCTCCACGAACAGTCGTCGCAAGACGCTTAAACCGTTACAGAAACGGCAGGCGCGTGGCTTTAAAACATGTGGTCCGCGCCTTTGCGCAGTTAGTCTTAAACGCCTCCTGCAAGAACAACGATGGATGGCGGATCGGTGTCAAATTGGGCCTTCGCATAAGCCCCCCATATGATATCAACAGGTAGGTAATTCAGTAAGGAAACTGCACACATCGAAAGCAGACCCTTCCAAGCTGAGGCTGTCGCTTGTGACTTCTTCGAGCTTGATGATCAGAACTGCTGAAAATAAGCGAGGGGTATTTTCCGCAGCTGAGTTGTCGCTGAACGCTGTCTTGAAGTATCCACCAATACCCAGCGAAACTTCTAACAGAAAGACAAAACCGAAGGTTGTTCCTTGTCAAAACGGGGCCTTCGCTTGACTGGCAAGCTCATAGCGCTCTGGTCTTTCGACGGGGGGCGGCGTGGGGCTTCCCGCAGAGAAAACATGTCGGGCATTCTTGTGAGGAGACTTGGGACCAGAAGGTGTCTTGCAACATCTCGAATGGACGCCGGGTTTGTTCAGGTCCTCATGCTGCTCTTCTTCCCGCTATGGCTTCTTATCCTGATCAATCGTTTTGCTCTTGCCGCATATCCTCTGCATCCCTCTTCTATTAGTCCCCATCTTTCCAGCAAGCTCCTTCTCCTCCTCCTTATGCACATGAGCCTCCGCCTCCTCCTGCTCCACCTACGTTTTTTCCTCGTGATCCTCCTCCTCCTCGTCCTCCTCCTTCTCAAACCATTCGTCAAGTGTGCTGGATCTTGAGCGGGAGTGACAAACCCAACCGAAAGGGCGCGCACCAGGAAAGTGAGGACTGCCACAGTGAGCTCATCGGCGAGCACGTTCCCGAAGAGCCTGTTGCAAGCGGATGCGCGCTATGCGAGAAAGGTGACAAACATAGGAAGTGTGGCCGCCACTAACGAAACCGAGCAATGCCGCAACGAATGTATGCACGTTTCTCTGAACATCCCTGCGTGGCCTGACACAACAGAAACACACAGACATATGCAATTATATACACCATCGTCTGCGTTGAACGTATGGAACGGCACGCTCGGAATTCCCATCTACCCGCTCAAACGCTGAGAACGTGAGCCTCTGGAATTTGCGGTTGCAAATTCCACATGGCACTGCTCGTGCATGATTAACGATTGTCTGCACGGTACGGAGTTGGATATAAGGGGGGTCTGATTTCAAAAGGGGAAAGACACAGGGAGGAAAGGGCGAGATGGCAATTGCGGTTACACATTCCACATGGCGGTGCTCGCGCATGATTAACGACTGTCTGCACGGTACGGAGTTGGATATAAGGGGGTCTGGTTTCAAAAGGGAAGGGCACATAGAGAAAAGGAGAGAAGGATGGAATAAGTAAGAGGGAAGCGACAAGAGGCATAATCGGGGTCATAATGCAAAACGTACGGCGTGACAAAATTGGCTCAAGACGTGTTCCCGGATTTCCAAAGAGTATCTAGTGGCGCAGCCGGTGCGGAACATCAAGCAATAGGGTGAACCCTGGTGGAAACCCGGGAAACATTCGAACGTATCACTATTCATGACCAACCGCCTCGGGGGGGGGCCAGCTTCGGGGGCTGGAGGAGGAGGAGGAGGTGTGGATTGTACGGGAACGACTGTCTGGATACAGGAAGCACGAGGCACAAATAGGGGGGACCTTGCTAGAAGAGAGCGCGTTCTCTTTCCTTGTGCGGCAGCGTGGGCGCGTCCTTCACTGGCGCGCCCTGGTAGCTCAAGGGCCCTTGTGAGCCGATATGGCGGCGCACAAGGGACTGCAGGGAGAGACGCATGAGGGGAAAAGGCTAACAGGGGCCTGGCAACCACAGCTCCTACCTTTCTTGCAGCCGAAACGCCGTCTCGCCTCAGAACATGAAAGCCCTCTCACAATAGATACCGTAGCCGTTCCACGTGCTGCAAGAGCCCCAGTGACGCGCAGCCGGTACAGCTCCACGAACATGCAGGCGGTTTCGAGAGCATCTCAGGAGAGATCTTTGAAAGAATTGTCCGGCCCGGGGTCCATGATGAGGTCTTCCAACTTCGTTGCGTCCGCAGCCTGCCCCATCTGATGCATGAAACTCGGTGGCTCGGCTCCGCGTTGGTCGTACTGTTGGCCAGTGCGCTCTTGGAAACGATCTGCTGCACTGAGCTCCTTGGTCCACTGAGGAGTCCATCTCTCGCGCTTGCGAACCAGCTTGACCTCGAGAATCGGGAGGTCGGAGTCCTCGATCGTCTCGTCTGGGCACGCGTGGACACTCGGAAACGCCGCCGGGAATGGCCTGTGTCGCGAGGTACATCCTGACCGTGCGATTCCAGAGCCTGTACCGTCCAAAGACTTGCTGCTTCGCTTGTACCTTGTCCCTGATCTCCCTCGTCGTAGTGTGAATCCAGAGCGCATTGACGTAGGCGCTGCCTTCGTTCCGGCACCACTGCCTGTGGACATGCATATTGGGGCAGCCTGCGCGACGATTGCGATCCACATGCAGCTCGAAAGTGCAAGAGTACAGCTTCATCTCAGGGCTGACGTCAGACGACGCATGCGCCATGTAGTGGGCGCGAGAGGTACGGCGAAGTGTCCTTTCGCAGAACATACCGCATACTTTTTTGCAGCTCGAAGGTCCTGGCTTCAACTCGAACAGGCCCTCCTTGCTCCAGATAGACGCCAGAGCTGCCAAGTTGGAACCGCGGTAGCCAGTCTTGATATGGGCCTCCTCCTTGTTGAGCTTCTTGTCATGCTGGATCTCCCTAGCGCATGTCGGTGCCATATCGCTCACCCGCCGCTGTCCGGCTGGATGCGCAATTGGCCCTTTGACATGGGGGCCGTCGATGAGTCCTGAGAGATGCCCACGAGCACAACGGGATAATTTGGGGACTAGGGTCCCCCAAATTGGGCTTCCAAAGCCAATGCAGCCAAGACAATCAAGTGAAGCTGGGTGTCTAGGCGGCCACTTGCCACGTCGACCATGCGACCCATCTGTGGTCGCAAGTCATCTGGTTGAAGACAGACTTGTCTTCCTGGACAGCCTGTGGGCCTTCCTGCAGTGGGCGCTGATGTACTTTCATCTGGCCCAAGACGAATCTCACCCTTTTCCGCCGGAAAAGCTTCCTGGCCTGGAGCAGCGGCGTGGCCGTCAATAGCCGCCACAGCCTTCATGGCCTCAGAGACGGTTCCGCCCATTGGTGGAGGGTTCTCGACGAATCCTTTGGATCCCCATAGAACCTGACAGCTCGCTGAAATCCCCCAGCTTGCGTGCCATCCCCTCTCTCCCGTTTTTCTCGCCGAGGATCTTGATCGGGTCCAAAGTGTCCTCGATGGCATCCTCGCCTTCCTTCGCCAGCTACCCCCAGCTGTCGACGACAAACTCCTGCTCCTCCTGAGGAGGGTGCCATAGGTTTCTGCCGATGTTCGGGAAATCGTCGTAGCTCACGCTGGGGGAGATGGCCACCGCTGCGGAGGCCCAGCCAGGCAAGTCACCACATGGCGCACAGACGAGATCTGACACCGGATGAGGGTCGCAAAGGTCATGGATCTCGGCATCCGTGCCCACCTGGAATTACGCGTAGACGGCCTCGTTTTCACCGCTCTCGTCTCCTGTCTCTTGCGCACTGCGCGAGCCAATCATGCGCGATCTCGCACTCACGCGCATCGCGCGAGCCAATCAGACCTAGGGCGATGTTGAATGGCATTTGCGTCAATAAATTTAGCAAAATACGGCAAGTAGGCTGTATCGGCTATGGATGATGCGCGGCCATCATCTCCGACGTGGGATCGTTGAAGGTCGCGTTGAGGTTCGGGTCCTGACGCTCGGCCGAGCACGGCTCTTCAATGCTAAGTAACAGATCACACCATCGGTGGGTCAGCATCCGTTCCTTTCGAACTCAGATGGTTCGTCCTTCATCGCCTCCGCTTGCAACGCTATGTCTTGGATCTTCTGCAGGATCCTCACAGTCTCCACAGTCGCGATGTAGAGCAGCGGCTGCTCACATGCTGGTAGAAGGTCTGGTGGCGCAACGAGGCCGTCCACGTTGATCCATGCATGGTACTTGTGCCCGGCAGGGAACCCCCGGTCTTGAACACCCTGATACACCACCTCCTTACAAGAACGATACTGCGGCCCCTTCGCCTCGAGTCGCCCCACGCGGAGGAACCAGTCGTTCTTGCGAGGTGGGATCGTTGCCTGGTCGCTAGGAATGTCCAAGAGGTTGTCCGGAGGAATGCGCAGTCCAGCCTCTTCGCCAAGCTCCCGACTTGCCGCGTACCTGGCAATGGAATCGAAGCCCAGGTTCCTCTCGTGGGCAACATCCACATATTTCCGATCGACTTGTCTTCCTGGGGTGGCGGCCGCATTTGGGGAGCTCACCTTGGAGCTTCGACGATGGACCAGGACATTGTTGTTGATATCGTCGGGGGGCAGGACGGAGACACCTACGGTCCCGACGTACTTCGGCCTTGGGAGGAGTGGTTGGTTCTCCTCGGCGGTCTCCCTGGCCGCCTCCCAGGCTGTCTCTTTGACTGACTACTGGAGCGTGTCGTCAGCGAGGTGGGCGTTGACTCGAGGGCGCTGTGCGCCTGTCGCAAGTCTTTTGGTCCCTCTCGCCGTTGGAGCTTCACGCCCTCTGGTGTCCCTGGCGTCGGCTCGGGCTCGTCTTGTCATTCCTCTCTTGTGTTGGCCAGAGCCTGGGCAGTGTGCTTCCTATCCGCGCAGCCTGCGTGGGGCGTCTCGCACTGCCGCGGGAAGATGCCGCCGTGGACGTTGTCGCCCGATGCCGTGCCAGGTCGTCCACCGCGGGGCCTCCTCCTGCATGGCAGGATTTCGCTCCATAGTAGTCGTCGCTCGGATTTCTCGCCCCATAGCGCGTCGATCTCGGAGCTCGCATCGGTCATCTTTCACATATATAACTAGAACCATCGCGCGCGCTTCGCGCGCGCTCAGGTTATAGCCCAGGCCGGGGGCGCGCTAGAAGATCTTGGACAGCGCTATCAAGCACAGGCGCGTGACATAGTCGTGCCTCCTGAGGGCCTCTTGGGAACCTCTTGGGTCTTCGTGGGGGCAACTGAAGGGCTTCTGGAGGGTTCTCCGTGCTTCCTCAATTGGCTGTTGGAGCCCGGCGGCCCCGGCGGCGTCCCAGGAACGGTCTCAGGTTTTTGGACCGGAGGCCGCATGTAGACGTACATGAAGGTTTCTGGGGAAGCCTCTCAGAAGCCAGTTGGGGCCCTCTTGGGGGTCTCCGGGGGGCTTCCTGGGAACCTCGGGGGTCCTCTTGGAAGCCTCTTGGGGGGCCTCTGCAGGCCCTTCGAGGCCTGCCGCGGGCGTCCTGGGGGCCTGCCGCGGGCGTCTTGGGGGTCTAAGGGCGCTGACAAGTCGGCCCCGGCGAGAAGGGTCGCTGCCGCTCCAACCATTGACAGAGACAAAGAAAACCTGTGCCAATCAGGCGGCGTCCCAGGTCACATATATAAAGCCACGAAGTAACCCGCTCGGCCTCCGCCAAAACCTCGGACATAGCATTGGCATCCACCACAAAAGTAGAGCGCCCAGCGCGCTCAGTCTTGTGGGGGGGGCAAGTAAAAATATGACATCCGCTTCCTTGCCCACCAAGAGATCATTGTCCGTGGCACCGATCATGCTGTCTGTCCGAGAGCGACCTTGCCCCGCGCCCCCCGAGGTCCAATCCTGAGTCGCACAGAGCGACCTGGCAAAGACGAGAAAAGGGCATGGAGTTAAGGGCGATAGTTGCATTGGCGTCCTTGAGGCACCGCAGCGCAGCATTTGCCTCGATGAGGTTTTGCACTTTGGAGCGTGGCAGAGTGCTGCTCAGAAAAATTGCATCCCCCGAAACATTGGGCA